ATGTGGCATTAGCAATTAAAAAGCCCTGATGAAAGTATAGGTCAAAGCATGCAAAACTGCCATTTTTCTAGGTAAAAAATGAATAGCAGTGGTTTCATACAGTTCAGCATGATTTAAAAACACCATTATAGATTCTATATATATTTAATCTAAAGGCTTATAAATAGCTATTGTTGACATAACAAAATTATGACACAACTTTTCAAAATCTTGTTTATCCTTTAGTATCTCAATATTCATTTACTGAGCTGTTATCAAATATACAAAACAATTGTGTGATGATCTGAGTCCCCATATTAAAGGCAATCACAATTAAAATAAATTTTTAGGCTGGGTACAGAAATAGCAACCCAATATTCTATTAGTTTCTGACTCTTAGCAGATGAGTTTCTTAGTCATATCACACACACACCACACCACACAAATACTCACTCATAATCTTCATCTTTGAGAAGAAAAAAATAATTGGAAGTGCCTAAGTTACAAATGGTAATCTGGTTCTATTCATACAATTTAATTTATCGACTGTTAAACCTGGATTAAAGGTAAAAAATGAAGTAGTTTCTCTGCTCTGATTATGTTCTTTGCTATATTCAAATCTTTTGTGTAAGTAAACTCTAGATTTGACACAAGAAGGTATTGCATTAAAAGTCTTCAAGTTACATGCTTAGTTTCAAACTTAAATTTTTTAACTAAGAAAAAAGGAAGAAGTCAGCATGCTAATATCATAAAAATTGATAATTCTGGTAATACACATTGAAAATCTAGGAACCACATGATAGAGTAAACATTTGAACTTACTGACATCAGGTTAAATCATAATATTTTGATGATGTAAGTATTCAGCTTTGCTAGTGCAGAAAATAACCTATAGTTTTTGTCATGAGTTAGGAAAGAGAAAGGACAAAGAAGAAATGAATCTGTGTTAATTCAGGCAAATAAGTAGAAAAAAAATCCCCTAAACTCTGCATCATTTTCCAAAGGAGAAAATCCAATTCACTGAAAAATACAAGCGTGGCTCCAATTTCACATAAGAAAGCTAAAGCAAACTATGGTGGCTCACGACTCAAGCCGAAATTTATGGCAGAGATGAAAGAGTTCATGGAAAGCCTCAGGAAATTATAGGGAAGAATACTTGAACAATGTTCATTCGAACTATTTCTAAATAGAGGTCAACCGTGGTTCTCAGTATCATTTATTTCTAGGTCTTAGCTTTTATCTGGTTTGCTATGATTTTTCAATCACTAGAGAGTCAGATAATTGCAGGGCAACAGATTTTACCTTAATAATATCTTTTTTTCATTTTCATGGTCTTTTATATGTTCTCTTCTGATCTGTTGCATCTGCTATTATTCCTCTCTTTTCTGCCTACCTTATACCATGCAATTGAGACCTCCTGCTCTTGGAAAATGAATCTATTTGACCTTTCCCACATATGGCTTACATTTTCTTTCTCTGCCACATGCAAAAGGTCTGGCACAATAAGTACTCAGTAATGATATCTGGAAAGTCCATGATTTTCTTTTTTAAGTCACTTTCAAAACTGCTTGAAATTCACCTTCATTCATGGAGAGTCATTCAAGGTCAGACTGATCTGCATCTGTTCACTTAAGTTTACCTTAAAATATATTCAAGTTTGCACTAAGTAACTTCCTCTTATTGGCCTATGTCTTGATATAAGTATTCTTTAACCCCATGTTTATGTATGTTCTTTCTTCCACCTAGGAAAACGATCCTGATGCCATTTATTTGTTACATACCACATACCTAAAATAGCATTCCACACACAATAAGTATTCAAATGCAGCTACCTGATACTCTTCTGAAAATTAAAATATTATCTACAAATATATTTTTATAGTTTTAAATATTTAAAGATGGTAAACTGAATATATGCAATTATTTTCTTCCCTAAAATAAAAGCAAAGATGGTGTTGGTGTGTGTGTGTGTGTGATAGTGAGAGTGTTTGGTTGTTTTTTAAGGCATAGCCTGTAAGGATAGAAAGAACTTACTTACTCAGTTAACTGGAAAGTTAAAACCCAAACTAGGCATACAAAAAGCCAAGAATCAATCCATCTGTAATACAAGATCTCATTAAGGCTCAGAAATCGGCAGGACCAATTATGTCTGGAATCAGAGGGAAGGCAGAGCTGAAACTGCTTTCCGGATTGAAGTTCACTTAAGAAGCCTAGCTGTCTCCCCAGCCCCACCTTTCTGAAGTCTTTCCCTATTTCACACAGCCACAGGCTGATTCTCTATTATTCTGGAAAAATATCAGAATTTTGCTCTCTTATAGAGGGCAAAACAAAGGGTCTCTGGATTGTGTATGACTTACAGGCTGAACTGTGTGCATCTCAATGTTCACAGTACTAGAGAATGCAACTATGTTGTCAGGAAGCATTTAAAGAGAGACCTCCTGTGTGCTGTTTTGGATCTGTCAGGAACCCTCTGGTCCTTACTGATTCCTGAATATTCAGGAATTAAGAGGGGAGGCACGCCTTTCCCGGGGCTGAGGAATCCAGGCATTTCTCGTTACAGTGATAAGTACCCTCTTCCTTTTTATGAGCCATACGGCAAAAGGTGATTGTTTGCAACTCTCTCTTTGATAGGGATCGTCTTTTGTTTTGTAAGTCTGGAATTTTAATCTTTATCTTTGCTGAGAATAACCACCTTGTAAGACAATATATGTGCCCACGCCCTGTTGATTAAAACACGTTTGCTCCATCAGAGCTTGGGGCCCCGTGTCTTTCTTTCTTTCTTTCTATTCTTTCTGTCTTTCTCTCTCTATTTCTGGCTAATTCCTTGGGGCGCGGAGGCCCGCTGAGCTCACTTTCTTGCCCAGGCTTCTAAGACCCTCCGAGAAGGTGCACTGTGCCCTCACCCACTCGAGAGGGCGCCTGGTGCCTCCGCGCAGCAGCGCGAGCCCTAACAACAGGGCTCTATTGGCTTTCCGCGTAAACCAGGGGATATCAGCCTCTTTCTCTCTCTTACTTTCTTATTGTCGACTCTGGACCACCAGGTTCCGCTCCATTAAAGGACCAACACTGTNAAAAGGAGGTCATTTAGATGGTCCCTAGTCCAATGAGCCTGATGTCCTTGTAAGAAGAGGGAACAGGGACAGAGATGCAGAGGGAAGAGCATGTGAAAACAGCCATCTGCAAGCCAAGGAGACATGTCGGGAGAAGCCAGCCCCACCAAACCTCAGTGTCAGACTTCAGCCTTCAGACTGGGAGAAAATAAAACTTCTATGATTATCCCACTAAGTCTGTGGTATTTTCTTATGGCAACTTTAGTAGACTAATACAGGGCAGTTGACAAAACAAATTTTAAAAAGGAAGTTAAAATTTATAGATACCCCTGCCTTCTTTTCCCATGTAACTTTTGAAATGTTGGGTGCAAGGTAGAAAATTGTTTAGAGACTCCAGCAAAACACTGGCATCAGACTTTTCTGATCCAGCCACACAGCAAATGTTTCTTTTCTGATCCAAAGAAAGGAACCAGCGACAGAGAGAATGTTACTGTCAGCAAGGAACGCCCACACACACAGTTTCCAACCAGCTTTTCCAGTTCAACCCAGAAATAAACGCAGTCAAGGATCAGCAGACATTCAAAGGAAGCATCTAATATGAAAGACAGACTAAAGTGAGGCTAGGCTACACAGGGAAATAAAAACTCTAAAACACTATTAGTAATTCTTAAAAAGCTAAGAGAACGGAGTAAATAGGATGCTAAAACAAATAAACAAAAATCAAAAGAATTCTCTGAAGTTAAAAATATGAAAGTAGAAATGTTACTGAACAGCAGAGTTAGAAGACACAGCTGAAAACAACTCCCAAGAAGTAGAACAAAAGGACAAAACTGAAAATGAGAGAGAAAAGACAAGATAAATACAGAACTGGTTAAAAAGGCTTAAAATAAGAACACTTCTAGGGACTTCCCTGGTTGGTGGTCCAGTGGTTAAAATCCCACCTCCTAAAGCAGGGGACATGGGTTCCATCCCTGGTCTGGGAACTAAGATCCCACATGTCATGGGGTGACCAAGCCATAGCTACTGAGCCTGCACGCTCTAGAGCGCAGCTCCTCAACAAGAGAAGCCACTGCAACGTGAAGCTGAGCGCCGCACTAGCCAAAGCCCGAGCACATGGATGAAGAGCAGGCGTGCCACATCAAAGGACCCAGTGCAGCCAAAAATAAACACATAAAAAATAATATATATTTTTAAAAAGTCTTAAAAAAAAAAAGAACACTTCTAAAAAGTAAAAGCAGACCATGGAGGGAAGACAGATCAGTACTTTCCAGACACATGGGTCTTAAGTTTCCATAATGGAAAGATTAGCACAAAGGATGACCATTTGGCACAAAAGTTGAAAACAGACCTCCATTAAGGTCTATCAAACTACGAAATTTCAAAACACTTGGAACAAGAGGCAAATCCTACCAATTGCCAAAGAAAACATGGAGTGTATTCACTTTGTGAAAATTCATCAAGTGGAACACTTATATCATGCACCTTTGATGTTACACTTAAATTAAAAGCTCTGAAAAATAAAGGAAGAAAATGAACGGTATTATCTTTAGGAAGTAAACTCAGAAACTGGTTTACGTAAGCATAGAGGCGATAAACGTGCCTTCTCTAACAGAAAAAAATTAGATGTGCCTACAGGGCATAAACTTTACTTGTTTTTGCACCTTTTGTAAAAGGGAACTTGGAGGAGTGAAGGAGTGAAGGAATGAAAGGTCTAAGTGGGTATTCTCCATTTAGCTATCATTACTTAATGACCCAATTATGCCTAAATATTAGACGGTAGAGTCAGAAATGTAATCTCTGTTTAAAAAACTAAAAAAGGAGGATAACAACCCCAATGCCCCATTTCAATTCCTTAGAAAGACATACAAAGACCCTTTGGCTCACTGAAAGTGGCCCTCCAAATTCTGGTACAACTGAGCCACTGACATACATTTTCATGAACCCAGGACTTAAAATAACAGCATAGTCTACCTGTATCTTTCTTTGGAATAAATGAATTATGATTCTCCAGGGGATGACCAAGGCGTTTCCAAGAAGTATTCTCTTTTTTCTTCAGGACGATCTCTATTTTTCCCACATTCTCAACAACTAGCACTTAACTAGCACTAAAAAGAAGATAAACTCCATTTGTATTCATTGATATTAAATATGAGAGTTTATTTTTAAACCAGTCTTTCTCAAACAACCCAAATGTTCTGATCTGATATGAATGACATTGATCATTACTGAAATAAATAAAATTTTTGGTACATATAGATCAAAATTGTTTATGCCTTATATGATGGTAAATCCAGTTTATCTTAAATTCACATTAACTCCTTTCAAATTAATATATCAGGGGCCAAACTAATACATAATGCTGGTTTTCATACAAGCTCAAATAGAGCCATGGCAACTAACACACAGCTTTAAAAAAAAAACCTTAAATATACAAACTAGCCATTGAATGAATCCACAAAAGCAAATTTAATTTATACTCTATTAACATTTCTTGGGATCTGAGAGAGTCTTATGAGTGAATTCAGTAAACCAATACTGAGCTTAATAAACAGAAAAGGCTCCAGGAGAATGAATCCCTATAAATTATCCTTATAATTATCAATCTTTGATAATTAAAAATCTTTTATATTATCTTTTTATTTTTGAATATTTGAAATAGTTTAGGATATATGAATATAAATAATAAGCTTTAAAAGGTGATTATATTTTGTGAATTAAATGTTTTTAAAGATTTAAAGTATATTTCTTTTTGCCTTTAGAAACAATATTATTCTTCCTCACTATAAACATAAAAATCAGCAGCAATTTAATAACTTTTAAAGACAGAACAGTCAGATGAATTCAATTCCATGGGCACTGATTTGAAGCTTAATAAACATAAAAAGTCCTTGACTTCAAAGAGCTTGATTAATACGATTTATAGAACTTACTACGGTGTATACAGAAGAAGGGAGGTACAGAACCAGTGTAAGGTAATCTCACAGTGTTTGAAACAAGAAACCACATATATACGAATATAGAATGGAATATTATTCAGCCTTAAAAAAGGGGATCCTGATAGTTGCAACAATCTATGATAAACCGAGAGTGCATTATACTAAATGAAATAAATAAAATAAATAAGATAGAGAAGACAAATACTGCATGGTATTACTTATATGTGCAAATTTAAAAAAAAAAATTCAAACTCATAGAAGCAGTAGCAAAACAGCACCAGGCCTCAGGAGTGAGGGGGACGTAGGAAGAGGCTGACAAAAGAGTATGAGCTTTCAGCTGTAAGGCGAATGAGGTCTGGAGATCTCATGTATAACATGATGACTGTAGTTGATGACACTGTCTTGTATTACTGAAATTACACACAAAGGTAAACCTATGAGATGATGGATTGTGTGAATCTTCACAATGTATACCTTTATTGAATCAACATCTTGTATACTTCAAATCTTTAAACAGATCACAATTTTGTCAATCATATCTAAATAAAGCTAAAGAAATAAAAACTACCATTCTCTGATGCGTCTCCTACTGTTAAACAGCTGTGTAAAATCCATTGTGCATTTATATGTAATGATATACATAATTTAATATGCTTTGGGTCTCCTGCATTTCAGGCAGATGCTTTACCATCTGAGCTATCAGGGAAGCCCTTGTTAACATTAAATATTTATATATACACTTAGAAAAACTTGTCTGGTCAAGTATATTTCTACAAGCTACATGTCAGGAGTAGGGCAGGAGGGGAAGAACGGAGACAAGAATTTTTTTTCTAATGAGAGGAAATGAAAAGGGCAAAGATGAAATGAGTAGGGAAAAGGAGCAAGGGGTGGGAAGAACTGAAACCACAGGGAAAAGGTATATGTAAAAATTAACATGTATGTTTATATGAAAACATCATATCCCTGTTCTGCAACATGAAAATATACATATGAACAATAAGACAAACTGCTGTCCCCTCATACATGCGTATGCATATGTCTGTATATGTACATATATACATTACATTGGTAGCTGTCCCCCTATAGGTGTGTATGTTTGTGTGTGTGAGTATATGTACATACATACATTATGTTGGTAGCTTACCAGAAAAATCTTCCTGAATCTCATGACTTAGGGCTGGAGAAAAAGAAAAAAAATTCAGTTAAGATCCAGCTTCAATTCCTACAGTCTACAAACACTGTATAAGATCATTCAAATGGTTCTTTCATGCACTATTTCAAATCTCTCAAATATATCCTAAGGAACCATAAGAAAAAACTGAATACAACTAAAACTTTGTTTTTGTTTTCTCAAATACTTTGAGAAAAATAATTTAAATATATTCCTTTAGTTGTTCCATTTCTCTCCTTATTAATTAAAGAGTAAATACTCAATTGCCCACAAATGGGTAAGCCACACTGGTTTAAGGATGGTCCCAGCCTGACAAATCCTGCAAACCAAGAAAGGAGCAGGGCAGGGAGAGAGGCAGCACGTGAAACACACAAGCTCCAGGCTGTGCGTATGTGTGTGTGAGGACAGGCCAGGTCTGGGTCTGGATAAATTTTTCTTTTCTTACTGTTCTCTAAGTTGGACAGTCATTAAGAATAACTGTATAAGAAAGATCTTCATGACCCAGATAATCATGATGGTGTGATCACTCACCTAGAGCCAGACATCCTGGAATGTGAAGTCAACTGGCCCTTAGGAAGCATCACTATGAACAAAGCTAGTGGAGGTGATGGAATTCCAGCTGAGCAATTTCAAATCCTAAAAGATGATGTTGTGAAAGTGCTGCACTCAAAACGCCAGCAAATTTGGAAAACAGTGGCCACAGGACTGGAAAAGGTCAGATTTCATTCCAATCCCAAAGAAAGGTAATGCCAAAGAATGCTCAAACTACCACACAATTGCACTCATCTCACATGCTAGTAAAGTAATGCTCAAAATTCTCCAAGCCAGGCTTCAGCAATACATGAACTGTGAACTTCTAGATGTTCAAGCTCATTTTAGAAAAGGCAGAGGAACCAGAGATCAAATCGCCAACATCCTCTGGATCATCGAAAAAGCAAGAGTTCCAGAAAAACACCTACTTCTACTTTATTGACTATGCCAAAGCCTTTGACTGTGTGGANCACTAAAGAAATGATACTTTTGAACTGTGGTGTTGGAGAAGACTCTTGAGAGTCCCTTGGACTGTGAGGAGATCCAACTAGTCCATCCTGAAGGAGATAAGTGCTGGGTGTTCATTGGAAGGACTGATGTTGAAGCTGAAACTCTTGACACTTTGGCCACCTGACGCGGAGAGCTGACTCACTGGAAAAGACCCTGATGTTGGGAAAGATTGAGGGCAGGGTGAGAATGGGAGGACAGAGGAAGAGATGGTTAGATGGCATCACCAACTCAATGGACATGAGTCTGGGTAAACGTTGGGAGTTGGTGATGGACAGGGAGGCCTGGCATACTGCGGTTCATGGGGTTGCAAAGAGTTGGACACGACTGAGTGACTGAACTGAACTGGTGTCACATACTTTGCAGATGCTGTTGGTACCACAGTTGATGAAAGGGAAAAATCCGTGCCCTTCCAGAACTTACATCCCAGAAGGGGGAGATGTAAGTATTTTTACAAACATCTGTTCTAAAGTTCTCTATGTTAACATGATTCTGTGAAACTTACAATTTTGATTCTGATTTAATATTAGCAACCAGGAGTTTCACATTTTTGATTGCGGAGTTTTTGTTGTTTCATGCATATGCTAGCTACGGTTAGCTATGGTGTGAACAAAACTAGCCATAAAATATGTGAAACATAATAAATGCTGACACAGAAGTCTTTGTTAAAAAAAATCATGACAGATCTAATGAATAATATATACTTTTTTAGACATCTGAGTTTTTTGTTGTTGTTGTTAATACTCTTCCTAAGAGGAAATATATATTAGATCTTATGCTGGTAAAAAATAAGATAGGATGTATTTCCAGAAGAAAGGTTTAAGATTTGATGTTGATTAATCTAATGAAAGGGGGAAAATAAGAAACAAAAAACATTTATCAACTTCAATCACATTCAGGACTAAAGGTCCTTCGTTAAGAAAGCCATAAGCAGAATCCCAAGTCAGCTGAGTCTGGAGATTTTCAGTTTGTTTTACAAAAGTAAACAGAACATTCTTTACATAAGAATGCATGCTTAAGATAGTTTTCTTCTTGTTGACTTGGTTTGTTTCGGTTTGTTTCATTTTTACTTTCTAACTGAAATAAAATTACCGTCTTTAAAGGAGAAAGGGATGAAATCCTAGAGTCATTACAGGTGAGAAATGGATTAGGAATCTGCTATTAATACCTCTGATTCCAGATTTCAGTCCTGAGTTCTTTCTCCTGATACATTTGCAACCTCTCAGAACAGACTGAAGTGAATTATGTGGCTGGTCTCTGGCTGTGACGGGACAGGCAGCGAGGGTATAGTACAGCCTTGTGGCCCAGGCTACTGCAACGCAGCCGCTGACTTCCCATGACAGCTGGCAAGAGAGAGGCCAGTGGAACAGCACCTGGTGACGTCCACTCAGCAGGAGCACATGACAGGCAGGCCCCTGCAGATGTGTTTGCAGGTATTAAGTAATACGATCTTACAAAGCTGGGCCGGCAAGTATTTCATATGACTGATCTCAATCACGTCTAATCTAACCGTTTAAATTTGGAAAAAGTGAGGTCATACTGCCATTTGCTAGCCCTTTCACTAGTATAAAGAAACAATGGAAAAAAGGAAAGCAAAACAAAAACTGATCAAAAAATGACAAAGCAGGCTTCCCTGGTGGCTCAGTGATGAAGACCTGCCAATGCAGGAGACACAGGTTCGATTGTAGTCCAGGAAGGTCCCACAGGCCATGGAGCAGCTGGACCCGGGTGCCGTAACTACTGAGCCTGTGCTCCGGAGCCCGGGAGCTGTAACTACGGAGCCCATGTGCCACAACTACTAACACCAGCTTGCCCTGGAATCCGTGCTCCACAACAAGAGAAGACACCACAAGAAGAAGCTCATGCACAGCAACTAGAGTGTAGACCCCACTCGCCACAACTAGGGAGAAAGTCCACATAGGAACAAAGATCAGCATAGCTAAAAATAAGTAAATAAATAAATCTTTAAAATGGCAAACCAAAATGACAGTAGCAGATAAAATATTATCGTTATCAAGACTCTACAACCAGCTACGACTGTAAGTAAACAAAAGTTGTTTCCATGAATATAGAATAAGTTACTTACCAACATGTACAAGGTATGAATAATCCTTGATGACTGTCTCGGCTCTAAAGGAATCATCCCGATGATCAACTATTACTGAATCTAAATTGATATCCTTAAACAGAAATCGAAAAGAGAAAGTAAACTTTTTTCTAAACTCTATCATTATATGTTTAAGCTGATAAGTGGAAGTTCACATGGTAATTATTTACAGAGCCCACAAGCTAAATCCACATTATTCCTGTTTTTTGCTCTCTCATACAACCTCATTCTTCTCCTTCAAAGCATACATCATAACTTTAACTACATATTTGTCTATACTTAATGTCTACCTTACCCATTCATCTGTAAACTCTAAGCAAAAGGGACTGTCTTAACACAACTTCTTAAGCTCAGCTTATCAAAAAAAGCCCCCAAAACAATTCACTAACAACTTTTCAGATGTCTCTAGTTTCTACATAGCTTTGATGCAAGTTATTCTTGTGCCTGTCATTTACACAAGGAACACATCTTTCCACACAGTAAGCTCCTCCTTACCCTCAGTCATCCACCCTCTGTGCCTCACTGGTATTGCCAACGGGAAGAGATGGATCCCAGGCTCCCTAGGCCCTGCCCTCTTGGTTCTAGACTGCGTGGTGAGGAAGGAGTAGGAGGTGGGACAAGCAGTGCCCCTGGACATCCTGGCTCTTTCAGGCAGAGGCTGACCACTCCGGCAGGATCACCAAATCCTACTTCAGGAAGAGGAGGAACTCACTCACTCAGATGCAGTTCTGCCACGACACAAGTAGCATGAATTCTCGGGAATCCCTTGCTGCCAGAACTTGTCTCTAAATCTCTATGGTTCCTCAAGTGTGGAGACCCTGCAGGCTGCTGGAGGATGTGCCTGGAGATGGTGTACGTTGCCTGCTTATTCATCTGATTTCCCAGGTTGGACTATAAGCCTGGCAAGATCTCAGTCTCTATGAATCTGGCCCACCTGTAGATTTCTGAATTCTACAGCAGTGTCCATAATGAAGCAGTGTTCAATAAATACTTAATGAATGAGTTAATTCCCTAATTTTAGTTTCCAGAGGACATCTAAAGCCAGTTAGTAGCTTAAGCATACTAAGATACAGCAATACTCTCTCCTGTCTCTTGAATTACAATACATGTGCAGGAAACCAGTCCATAAGATGAAGTTAAACTGGGACTCTCACTGCTGTTCAGTTCATTTGTTCACTCGTGTCCGACTCTTNTATAGTCAGCAGAAATAAGACCTGGAGCTGAGTGTGGCTCAGATCATGAGCTCTTCACTGCAAAGTTCAGGCTTAAACTGAAGAAAGTAGGGAAAAACACGAGGTCATTCAGATATGACCTAAATCAAAACTCTTATGATTTTACAGTGGAAGTGACAAAGAGATTCAAGAGATTAGATTTGATACACAGAGTGCCTGAAAAACTATGGACAGAGGTTTGTAACATTGTACAGCACGTGTTGATCAAAACCCCTCCAAAGAAAAAGAAATGCAAGAAGGCAAACTGGTTGTCTAAGAAGGCTTTACAAAGAGCTGACGAAAGAAGAGAAGTCAAAGGCAAAGGAAAAAGGAAAGATATACCCACCTGAATGCAGAGTTCCAAAACTCTGCATTCCAAACTCTGCATAAGGAGAAAAAAGAAAGCCTTCTTAAGTGAACAATGCAAAGAAAAGAGGTAAACAATAGAATGGAGAAGAACAGAAATCTCTTCACGAAATCTGGAGATATCAAGGGAACATTTCATTCAAGAATGGGCACAATGAAATGACAGAAACGGCAAGGACCTAAGAGAAACAGAAGAGATTAAGAAGATATGGTAATCAAACACAAAAGAACTATACAAAAAATATCACAGTGATCCAAATAATGATGATGGTGTGTGATTTCTCACCTAGAGACTCCACACATCCTGGAGTGCGAAGTCAAGGGGGCCTTAGGAAGCCAACAAAGCTAGTAGAGGTGATGGAATTCGAGCTGAGCTATTTCAAATCCTAAAAGATGATGCTGTTAAAGTCAGCTCAATTCATCAGCAAATTTGAATACTCAGCATTGGCCACAGGACTGGAAAAGGTCAGTTTTCATTCCAGTACCAAAGAAAGGCAATGCCAAAGAATGTTCAAACAACCATAAAAGTGCACTCATTTCACACACTAGCAAGGTAATGCTCGAGATCCTTCAAGCTAGGCTTCAGCAGTATATGAACCAAGAACTTCCTGATGTACAAGCTGAATTTAGAACATGCAGAAGAATCAGAGATCAAAATTGCCAACATCCATTAGAGAAAGCAAGGGAATTCCAGAAAAGCATCTACTTCTCGTCATTGACTATGTTAAAGCCTTTGACTGTGTGGATCACAACAAACTGGAAAATTCTTAAAGAGATGGGAATACTAGACTAACTTACCTGTCTCCTGAGAAATCTGTATACAGGTCAAGAAGTCAAGAAGCAACAGTAAGAGCTGGACATGGCAAATAGACTGGCTCAAAAACTGGGAAAGGAGTATGTCAAGTCTGTATACTCTCACCGTGCTTATTTAACTTATATGCAGAATACCATGCAAAATGCCAGGGTGGATGAATCACAAACTGGAATCAAGATTGCTGGCAGTAATATCAATAAGCTCAGACATGCAGATGATACTACACTAATCGTAGAAATCAAAGAGGAACTAAAGAGCCTCCTGATGAGGGTGAAAAAAGGAGAGTGAAAAAAAGCTGGCTTAAAATTCAACATTAACAAAATGAAGATTGTGGCATCTGGTCCCACCACTTCATGGCAAATAGAAGGGGAAAAAGTGGATGATTTTATTTCCTTGGTCTCCAAAATCACTACAGATGGTGACTGCAACCATGAAATTAAAACACATTTGTTCCTTGGAAGGAAAGCTATGATAAACCTAGACAGCATATTACAAAGCAGAGACATCTGTATAGTCAAAGCTGTGGTTTTTCCAACAGTCATGTACAGATCTGAGAGCTGGACAATAAAAATGGCTGAATGCCAAAAAATTGATGCTTTTGAACTGTGGTGCTGGTGAAGACTCTTGAGAATCCGTTGGACTGCAAGGAGATCAAACAAGTCAATCCTAAAGGAAATCAACTCTGAGTATTCAATAGAAGGACTGATGCTGAAGCTCCAATACTTTGGCCACCTGATGGGAAGAGTCGACTTGTTGGAAAAGATCCTGATGCTGGGAAAGACTGAGGGCATGAGGAGAAGGGGCGACAGAGGATAAGACGAATGGATGGCATCATCGACTCAATGACCATGAGTTTGAGCAAACTCTGGGAGCTGGTGAAGGACAGGGAAGCCTGGCTTGCCGTACTCCATGGGGCTGCAAGGAGTCAGACACAACTTAGTAACTGAACAACAATACTTCATGTATACCAGTAGATACATGGATATATACTACAGGTATACCAACTTGGATTAAAACAAACCACCTCCTTGACAAGACACTTTTTATAAAGGTTACACATCTAAAATGCCTTGTATCAGAGCAATAACACAACATGTTTTCTGAAGGAAAATGACAAAATATACGTGCTTATTACCTTGACTCTTCCCTGTCACAAATATATTACCGACGAAATTAACTCACCATGGGTATTTAACAGTCAATAGCAAAAATTTAAGGAAACGCTACATCATGTTTTGTAAAACTTCTGATCAAATTGATTCAGTTTTTGTTCTTAGTACCTGTACACAGGCCGCGAGTGTGAATCTTACAAGAGATACCTCGAGGTCCTTAACTTAAAATTGTATATGAAATAACAGATATAACAAGTATAGCAGAATGCTACTGTTACAGACTCACCTTGTGGGGAAAGGTGGTAAGAGAAAAACGACAAATAACACACATAACCCTAGGGCATGTGAAATATCATTAACAAAATTATATATGGATTGCTTAATTTACTAAGACAGTGCAATACATTTCCAAGAATTTTCATTAAGAAACTGATAAAACAAATTAGACATACAAAACAATGATGTTGTTTAATTGCTAAGATGTGTCTGACTCTTTTGCAACCCCATGGACTGTAGCTGCATGGCTCCTCCTTCTGTCCATGGGATTTCCCAGGCAAGAATATTGGAGTGAGTTGCCATTTCCTTCTCTAGAGGATCCTCCTGACCCAGGGGTTGGACCTGCATCTCCTGCATTAGCAGAAGGACTCTTGACCACTGAGTCACTAGGGAAGCATATTGCAGTTGAATAAATTATGGATACTTGATCAATTTCCATCACATGATGGAATACAGACCAAAAAATGCCTTTGCAGAATATTTCATGACATACAAAATTGATCACAGAATATACTGTAATACTGATACTGTCAGAATAATATGGAAATAGGTACTACACGAATCAAAGTGGATAGAATAAACCAAATATTAAGAGTATACATCTAGGGTTGATGGGACCAACTTTTATCACTTTCTTTTGTATTTCCCCATGTTCCCAAGTTTGCTACCATGAATATATACGTGATAATCAGAAAAAAATAGTTTTAAATAGTTGTTTTTTTTAAGTTGTGGTATTTAAAATGGGTTAAACTTCAGTTATGCTAAAAATTCATATTTAAGGAACAGCTCATTTTTCAACAATGTCTGATAAATGAGGCAGTGCAGTTCTTGTGTCAAAAAAGCATGACTAATATAATAAGCAATAAATCAAACTTAAAGCCTTTTTTAAATGTGCACATTTTGGTGTAGAACTGATTAAGCTTTAAAGAAAGTAAAATTAAAAAGCATACCTTGGAGAACTAGGACCTTCTTTGGCAAGTGTATCTGTCACTTGGCTCTGAGGAAGCATGCCTTCACAAAGAAAAATAAACAAGGTAACTACAGTTCATCTACATAGCATTTTTCTTTTCTTCACCCCATCTCTCCAGTAAACTTCTTATTGAAATATTATAAAAGGAGACAAGTCACAAATATACTCCTCAATGAATTTTCATCTGTAAAATATACCCTTGTAACCAAGACCCTCCCTGCGCCCTCCCATTCACCACCTCTCCCCCAAGATAATCACTATTCTGACTTTTAACATCATAATTAGTTTTTGCCTGCATTTGGCCTTTATAAAAAAGTGGAATCATAAAACATGCTCTCTTTTGGTCTGGGTTTTTGGGACAGTTCCATTGATGTTGCAGTTAATGTCAAATTAGCATAATTAACAGTAAGCAATGAGTCAGGTCTGGAGTTTTCTGAAATGTTATCCATGCTGCTGAATGCATTAGTAGTTTGTTCTGTTTTACTACTGAGTATTATTACACTCTCTGAATATACCATATACCATATACCATATACTAGAATCTATTCATTCTATTGTTGATGGATATTTGGGCAGTTTTTGGCTATTATGTATAGCATTATTATTAATATTCTTGGTACATGTACACACTCATTCTTAAAGAACATCCATCTACATATCTGGTAGATATACAGGACATGAGTATGTTTAGCTTTAGTAAATACTGCTAAACAGTTTTCCAAAAAGGTCACACTAACTTACAATTTTTACCATAAGGGTTTGGATGCCTGGCTGCTCCACTACCTTGCTGACACATGGTTCTGTCTTTTTCATTTTAGATTTTCTTGTGGGTGTGTCTCATCACATTTTATTTTTATTTTTTTTTGTCTCATCACATTTTAAATGGTCACCAAGGCTCTGGTTTTTGACTTGTTTTTGAAAACTCTGAGAACAGGGAAGAGCTTCAGAGATTCTGTGAACATTAACTATTTTTCTTCTATAATAGGAGTGTACTCTTTGTGCAGGAAAAAAAATGTAGGCTTTGGCAAGTCTTAGAATTCTCAATTAGAAGTCATGGTAATTATATAAAGTCAGTGTTGGGAGGCACCTAGGAGACATGGTAGTTTAGAGGTTTTCAAGATTCTTCTTATCCAGAGAATCTTCTGTTAAAACACGAGCGAATTGATGGACTTATGTCAATTTGAAGAAATTAGGTCTCTGGAGGAATGCTGGCTTCAGTGTTTTACATGAAGTTTAAATGATGACACAGGAGGCAGGCAGATGGTGTCTGTGAACGTGCAGACTTAACCACAGACACTCATATAAGCCAAATATTTGAGGCACACACAGTCACATAAAAGAGGTAACTATGCTGGCCAGACCACTGGACAATGTAACATCACATTTTTAAGGCCAATGTTAACTGAGATGTTAAATGCTATGCATCCAAAGGAAAGCAATGTGGCAGGAAAGAAAGTACCCAGACAATCAGTAATTAGCCTTTAAGGAAAGGCTGTTTGCCTAGCATTATGGAAGAGTAAAGTATGAGCTGAAACCCAAGAAGAGTCCTTCCTTTACTGTGGTGACCCCGTCAGACAAACAGATTCAGGTGGCACCATCACAAGCTGCATACATCAGTCTATAAGAAGACTGTTTTCTCTACTTGAAAAAGAAGAGGTCATTCATCTGGCAATCCAGCTTGTTAGCTGAATTTCTGTAACTTTCTTTTCCAAAATAGAAAGGAAAAAAAAATGCGTTTTAAAACATATATTAGTATTACAGTTCAGTCAGAGTAGCCCCAGGCAGTTTTGAAAGTCTCACACCAAAATTTCTGAGGGGTTAGGGGTAGTGTCAGTCATGATTCCAAATCACAGTGAATGGCTGAGGAGAGCTGCCAAGCCCAGAGAAGAGGTGATTAGTAGGCGACTCAGTATCTGCAGAGACACTGGAGGAGAGCCCTGTGCCAGAGGGAGAGGTGTCCTCAGCCTGGCATCGGAGGGGCAGCTCCTAGTCAGCGCAAGTGTAGTGAAGTCCCCTACACAAGACCCTTCAAGCCTCGAGCTCTCAAAGCTGCGAACGTGCATGCACGTGTCCGGGCACGTCCCTCAATCCCTGTGTGTGGTGTACACTGCCGCACGCGTGCATCCTCTACAAGTATTGCGCTTCTGTGTACTGTGCTGTACATTTCTGTATAGAGTGCAGTGTGCTAAGCTGCTTCAGCTGTGTCCGACTCTCTGCGACCCCATGGACTACAGCTTTCCAGCCTCCTCTGTTCATGAGGTTCTCCAGGCAAGAATACTGGAGTGGGTTGCATGCCCTCCTCCAGGCGATCTCCACCAAGGGATTGAACCTGTATCTCTTACACCTTCTGCACTGGCAGCTGGGTTCTTTACCCCTACTGCCACCTGGGAAGCTGGGTACAGAGTATCTTTATTTCAAGCCCAGGATACTGGGAAGCAAGTGCAAAAGCAGCAGTGATGCAACTGGTACCACTGTACTTTTCAAAGTACTATAAGACTAAAAATGTTTTCTTTATTTTTTGTCTTCTTTATGTATTATTTGTGTGGGAAGTATTATAAATCTGTTACAGTACACTACTATATAGCCTATTGTACTAGTTGGGTACCTAGGCTAACTTTGTTGGACTTAGGAACAAACTGGACTTATGAAGACACTCTCGGAACTTGTTCATATATAAGGGGATTTACTGTATTCCGGCTGAGGACAGATGAACACAAGCTCAGAGATGCCATAGAAAGGACTATAGATGGACTCATGGCTTCAATAAGGGATCTACAGAGTCCTGTCAAATCCTCTAAGCTTAGGCAAGTAAGCACATCTTTTGCATAAAAATACATAAATATCCCAAATAATTCCGTAAGGCAACTTTGTATACAATCATGCGAATATGATTCAGTTTTTTACTATAAATGTATACGACTTACCATTTAAGACTTTCTTTTCCTCATGATAGTCTGTACAGCAGTTTAGGAAAATAAAAAAGTTAGGTAAGAAAAGTGTAACATCAGAGAAGATCAGTTTATATTATTGACATAAGGATAACAGCCCTCTTCTAGAAGGGCTTTCTTCAAGAAAAGCCCTGAGGATAGAAATAAGGCTGATAAACAGATGGCCTATCTTTTAAGTAAGTCATTTCATCTCTGAGGACTGCCAAGTCATTTCTGCAGATATTTGTCTCAGAATTCACTGGGCTTTCCCCTCCTTTTCTGGATTTTTTTCCCCCTAATATATTGGTGAATTTCTTTAGAAAGCACATAAAGAGCAGAGTTTTCTCCAGATTGTCATTATCTAAATTAGTCAAAACTATCCAAAATTTATTAGATTTCACTTTATATCAGAAACATACATATTAATCCAAAGAAAGACATCTTACTACCTTTCTCTCTTAACCAGGTGAGCACTTAAAATGATTATTCAAATTTAAATGGCCAAGTGCTGAAATATGTTAAGATTTTCACTTGTATATCAGTACGATCAACCATCAGGGTTATAAGCCACAAAAAGTTTAATGGGTGTTTTCTTTCAGGATGTCAACCAGCTCACAAATCTATATTATACCTTGATCATTACAAGTTTTATAAGCATATGTCAAAATAAAACCCTCAGCAAGTAGCCAGAGTTCTATTTAAAAAAATAAAGAATGCCAAGCTAACAAAAAATATTCAAGAAGTAAACTGAATTGATAGACATTACTTGTTAACACGACATCACCTTGTTTTGTAGAAAAAGAAACCAAAATATGTACATCAAAGCTTTCAAATTTTTTTATATTCTAATTTTCAATCAACTAGAGATCTCACAAAATTACTACCCCTTGTCACTCACATGTCATAAAATAACTATGATTAAGGAGGTCAGATAACCATTCTTTTATTTTTTCCCATTTTACTGAAATAAGTTCAGAGCTGAAAGGGATATTAACACACACCAAATTATCATCCATTCTCCTCACTGAAGGTTGAAAATAGAGGTCAGGACTTGAATGAAACTCATGGCTCTTCAGCAGTAAAGCTGATNGAAGAATTGATGCTTTTGAACTGTGGTGTTGGAGAAGACTCTTGAGAGTCCCTTGGACTGCAAGGAGATCCAACCAGTCCATCCTAAAGGAGATCAGTCCTGGGTGTTCATTGGAAGGACTGATGCTGAAGCTGAAACTCCAGTACTTTGGTCACCTCATGTGAAGAGTTGACTCACTGGAAAAGACCCTGATGCTGGGAGGGATTGGGGGCAGGAGGAGAAGGGGACGACAGAGGATGAGATGGCTGGATGGCATCACCAACTCGATGGACATGAGTTTGAGTAAACTCCAGGAGTTGGTGAAGGACAGGGAAGCCTGGCATGCTGCGATTCATGGGGTCGCAAAGAGTCGGACACGACTGAGTGACTGAACTGAACTGAACTGATAACATTGGTCAGAGTGCATTACTCTGATAAGATCCTCTGGTTTCTGGAAAGTGAAAGTCACTCAGTCATGTCCAACTCTTTGGGAACCCATGGACTGTAGCCCACCAGGCTCCTCTGACCATGGAATTTCTCCAGGCAAGAACACTGGAGTGGGTTGCCATTTCCTCCTTCAAAGGCTCTTCCCAATCCAAAGAGCAAACCGACATCTCTTGTGGCTCTGGGATTCGTAGGCAGATTCTTTACCATTGAGTCACCTGGGAAGCCTCTAGTGTCTCTAGACACTGTCAAATGTCTGGCAGGGAGAAAAATCAATCCAAGAACCACTGGTGTATACCAAAGGAAAAGAAATTATTCAAAAGAGGATAACTTTAGTGAGGTGATCTCTACCTTACAAAAAGAAGTACCCAGGATTTCTTTCAAGGGTGAACTTTTCCAATTAAATAACTATTATTAGTTAAGGAAGGTATATATACCTACAAGCTTCACTATCTAAACTTTTAAACTGAGGTTGTTAGAACAGAATCCCTCTTCCACCTCAGATGTATTCTCCTGATCTATGGATCTAAGTGCTTTATAGTCAGTAGCTGCTTGAGAAAACAGGCATGAAAACTCAAAACATTAAGCATTAATATTAGAAATCATGATAAACCTATGAGAAATTAAGCAGAAACACCCAGGTGGTAAAGAATCTGCCTGCCAAAACAGGAGATACAAGAGATCTGTGTTCAATCACTGGGTTGGGAAGATTCCCTGGAGAAGGAAGTGGCAACCCACTCCAGTATTCTTGCTTGAACAATTTCAAGGACAGAGGAGCCTGGTGGGATACAGTTTATGGGTCACAAAGAGTCAGACAGGACTGAGCAAGCACAAGTGTGTGCATGCACACACACATATGCACATTTCTGACACGGGCTACGCCATTAGAAAATATTTTATAGAATGACCATCATTACAAATAAATGCTGGAAAGGATGTGGAGAAAAGGGAACCTCCTACACTACTGGTGGGAATATAAACCGTTGGTGTTTACATTCACTGTTGGTGACTGTTTGGTACAGTCACTAGTATGGAAAACAGTATGGGGCTCCTCAAATATCTAAAAACAGTATTACTATATGATGGTGCTATGGTACCATAGCATAGGTACCATATGATGGAGATGACTCTTGAGAGTCCCTTGGACAGCAAGGAGATCAAACCAGTCAATTTAAAGGAAATCAACCCTGAATACTCATTGAAAGGACTGATGCTGAAGCCGAAGCTCCAACACTTTGGCCACCTGATGCGAAAAGCTGACTCATTAAAAAAGACCCTGATGCTGTGGCAAAGACTGAAGGCAGGAGGAGAAAGTGGTGACACAGAATGAGATGGTTGGATGGTATCACTGACTCAATGGACGTAAGCCTGAGCAAACTCCAGGAGAGAGTGAAGGACAGGGAAGCCTAGCATGCTGCAGTCCATGTTGGGGTCGCAAAGAGTGGGGCATGGCTCAGTGAATGAACAATAACCAGCAATCCCATTCCTGGGCATATATCCAGAAAAAAACTCTAATTAAAAAGATACGGGCACACCTAACAACAAGTCACATTAGCCAAGACATAGAAACAATCTAAATGTCCATCAACAGATGAATGGACAAAAAAGACGTGGTACCTATATACAATGGAACACTATTCAGCCAGGAAAAAGAAAAAATCAATGCCATCTGTAGCAACATGGGAGCACTTATCATACTAAGTGAAGTAAGCCAGAAAGAGAAAGACAAATACTACATGATATCACTTATATGTGGAGTCTAAAATTTGACACAAATGAACCTATCTACAAAACAGAAACAAACTCACAGACATAAAAAACAGACTTGTGTTTGCCAAGAGGAAGGGGAGGTAGGGAAGGGATGGAGTGGAAGTTTGAAGTTAGCAGATGTAAGCTATTACATATAGGATGAATAAACAACAAGGTCCCACTGTATGGCACAGAGAACCATATTCAATATCCTATGATAAATCATAACAGAAAATAATTTCAAAAACAGAAATTGTTTTTGAACAGAAATTGTCTGTGTGTGTGTGTGCATGTGTGTGTGTGTGTGTATATATATATATGCGATTCACTTTTCTGTGAAGCAGAAATGAACACACTGCAAATCAACTATATTGCAATTAAAGAATATATATATTCTTTAACTGAATGTACATTTACATATATATACATATATACAAAGAAAATGTGACTACTTAAAAAAATGATTTCAGCTGGAGTTTTGTCATTTTTTTTCAATAAATAATTACTGAAAATCAGAAATGAAGGAACTCCCTGGTTGTCCAGTGGGCAGGACTCGGTGCTCTCACCATCTGGGCTGGGAAGTAAGATCCCATAAACCAGGCAGTGAGGCTCCCCCGCCACAAAATTAAAATTTTAAAAGTACATTTAGGTCTGGAATAGTGCTGTCCAGAAGAAGTATAATACAAGTCACAAGTATAATTTAAAATTTTCTAAAAACCACACTCAGTTCAGTTTAGTTCGGTTGCTCAGTTGCGTCCGCCTGTTTACGACCCTATGGACTGCAGCACGCCAGGCGTCCGTGTTCATCACGAACTCCTGGAGCCCACTCAAACTCATGTTCATTGAGTCCATGATACCATCCAACCATCTCATCCTCTGTCGTCCCCTTCTCCTCCCTCCTTCAATCTTTCCCAGCATTAGGGTCTTTTCCAGTGAGTCAGTTCTTCTCATCAGGTGGCCAAAGTACTGGAGTTTCGGCTTCAACATCAGTCCTTCCAATGAACACCCAGGACTGATCTCCTTTAGGATGGACTGGTTGGATGTCCTTGCAGTCTAAGGGACTCTCAAGAGTCTTTATCAGCACCACAGTTCAAAAGCAACAATTCTTCAGTGCTCAGCTTTCTTTATAGTCCAACTCTCACATCCATATCACATAACCAATTTAACAAAGTACAAAAAGAACAGGTCAAATTAACTTTAATAATATGTTTTTACTTAATACAATATATTCAGAATATTATCATTTCCACATGACAATGTAATCAATGTAAAGTTATGAGGTATTTTACAATTTTTCATCCTGATTCTTAAAATGTATCACTTACGCTTCCAGCACATATGAAGAGAATTTCCACGCTCACTAGGCAGCCACATGTGGCCAGTGGCTATAATAGACAGCAAAGGATTAAAAAAAAGGCAAAAAGCAAGAATTTTCTCATCTTTGCCAGAGAATGAAGTATTCCACATAAATAAATCAGCAGTGACTGAAGCTCATCTTTTCAATCAAAGTTTCTCCTTTTATTCATTATTGATACCTTTCTAAAGCATGAAACAAACTACAGTCCTTTTTAAACAAAGGATTATAAAAAGCAGACTGATTTTTGGCTTGATAAGTCTCGCTAGTATTACCTGCTTTATATTCTGACAGTTAGCTCTTCTGTTTTTTCAGACATCTCTCCCCCATTAGAAGCCAGGTGATAAATGGAAAACTGTCCTCTCAAATCTGCTCAGCTGTGAGGATGCCTATGAAATGCTACTTCTGGAC